AATCCCGAAAATAGTATTTCCCACGGAGGACGAGAAATTTGAACCGCAATTACACCTCTATTCCAAGCTTTTCCAAGCAAGGCTGAATTCAGAATGCAACTTTGACTGCTTGCTACTTTATCCTTATACTGTTGTGAATTTGTAAAAACGCATCATGTATGGGATGTCGTCGGTGGGGACCCACGCTGCAAGCGTGCGATCATTCCCTGTTCATAAAACTGTTTAAAGGGCCTTTGCACGGCAATACCCTATTGATGTCGCGGATACACTGTCAGCAAATGCCACGCATGAAGTGCTGATAGATATAATATCATTTAGGTCGGATAGGTTAGGTACGGCATGTTCGTAGCAAGTACCTGTAAACAGTAAACTGGTTGGCCTCATCAAACGCATTGATGAACTTGGTGGATACCTTGACTTCGTCCCGCCCCGGCACTCATCCTTTATTTACAACCGAATAATGACAGGATTTTAGCAATAGCACGAGTTTCAATCTACAACCAGGGCATGTCCCGGACGAAAATGCCAGGGCCCAGTCCCACCAGACTGCTGCATCAGAGCCTCTCGGTCATGCGCATCGACGACATCAAGACCCATTCGACAGAATTAGGCGGAAATCCACGATCATGGGCCACGCACGATCCACGCGAACGATCGGATCGATGTCAATCAGTGAAGTCTGAAATCTAGAAGAAATTCATTTAAAATCGACTGGCATAGCACATTGCCGTGAAGACTAGGCGCTGCCAAGGAAAAAGGAGAAGGTTCGTAAGACCCAAGCCTCGCCGATTAATATCAGAAGTCTCCAAAGTCCACTGCTATGTCTTCATTGTCAACTGACATTCCGGCACTGATCGACCTCGTTGGACAGCTCCGGAGCCAGTACAATATCATTAAATATCCGCCTCTTATCCCAAAAGACACCACCACTTGCACTAGCGTCATCGGTGAGGATGCTGCTGCCATGCTGCCAAATCTCATCAGCATCGGCCTTCCCCAATCTATGTAGACTCCCTTTTGAACTGTCCCTTTTGCGCTCGCCCTGAGGCCGAGTAATAAGTGCCTCGAGCCTTCAGAATTAAACAACAGTCAGGTTGCAGTTGCCTGCACTGTCTCAAAGCATTCGGCCGTACGCGTATCCACGAAATCGTCCAGGTTCCATCGCAGCGCTTGGCCGACAGTTCGACCATCGATTTCGATTATGCCCACCGTATGCTCCAAACAGGTTGGTGCAGAGACAGTGACTTGCGTGTGAATTAGTTTATATGATAGTAGACTTTCGAAGTATCTGCAGCACTCTCCTCTCATCCACCTGTGTCCGGTGTCAAGACGGAGTCGAGAAAACGGGGGGGAAGGGGCGGGATCAGACTTCCCTGTGCGTGTCCCCACGCTGCTCCCTCCCCCCGTGTTCTGCGTTTGTTATCGGCGTTCAATCCGAATAACGCCTGCCGTACCCTGATCTGGCTCCTATGTTCGTCTAACGCATCTACCACGCGACCCGTTTAGGGGGCGAAAAGCACTTAGCCAGAACTGCACCCACGAACCCCCATCTACAGCAGCCTACTTCACATAGGGTAGGGGTCATATCGTGTATGGCATTGCTGTATGGGCTGCTTAGCAGTCAGCCACTGCGCCCAATCTCATTCCTCGTAAAATTTAATTGGGCAAGTTAGTGGTGTTTTAGGAGAGAGGGCAATGTGAGCCCGACACCGACAAACCGATCCCCAATCCGGAACATAGTGGGAGAAACAAATAAATCACGCCACTCCAAGAGCCTAAGCGAGGCGCCGATCGTGGCTTGGCTCACCATCCACCTTATTCATATAGGCGGTGTGCTTTTGAGTATAACTTTGACTTTGTTGTGTCAAAATCAATAAATGACAGCATATGACATTGAAATGATCCCCCTCATAAGAAGTATGAAGTCTTTCTCATACTGCATCTTCTCCAATTTTCGGACTCTACGTTTATGTGCAACTGTGTTTCGTCCTTGAACGTTACCTTGATGTTGTTTACATGTATCTTTAACGCCACTTGGTAAATGCACTCAGATGGTCATCCGCTTTTCCCATCGCTATGATTCTCCCTGTCTTTTAACTTTTTGACCCAAATAAGTAAAATTTATTTTGACGGCAAATGTTCTTCCAGACTGGCAGTTCATCCCAGGTGCGTGTTTGATGTTCTTGAATGTCCTCCTGACTGGATAATTCTCTGCTTGCTATCTTCTCGTTTAACTTGTCATGTCCCCTACACTCAAAGCACTTACTCGTCTACTTTCCTTCGTTCACCTCACCTGCTTGTTTCTAACTTCCTTTTTTATTCAATGTACTTCCTTTTACAGAGCTTAAGACATCGAGCACATCCAATTGCCGAAGAGCGTTGGAGCAATAGTCGGATCTCTCGACTGTTCGCTGTATGAGCGCGAGCCGTCATGCTACTTCTAGATGCTTAGATTAAGGATTTTTGATTACGTTTGCCTAAGAACGATTCCTCGAGTGAAATATATAATATATTGAAAAAAACAGCGCCGATTGTAAGAAGCTAGCGAAGATATGTCAACAATTATTATAGAGAAGATTAGAGTGGTTGGGTCACACCTCTCGTTTTCTTCGTTTGGTTTCGAGGCCCTAAATACAACGCCACCACCTCGGTGGAAGCGATATGTTCATCTGAAAATCTGTCAGCGCACTTGCTGTAGAAAATCCTATGTTGTGAAACCCTTTCTGCCCCCCATAAGGTATATTTAGCTTACCAAGCGTTAGGGTAGATAGATTTAGTCCAGTTTGTGTTGAGTTCAGGTTGCCGGAGTAAGTTAAGTAACCTTTTATAGGTCAAACGTGCGTGGTGCGTTCAAACGCGCCACGTGCTCCACGTTGCGTCTTGTTATTGCATATTTGTCTTAAACCACCCCCTGGTTGACGGATCTTTGTAGCCAATACCTCCCATGTATTAAAAGACTAATTAACAACTTCCTTCTGATTAATTTTCTTTTAAAACCTTCCTATAGCGCAACATCGAACGGCAATCATCGCCGCTATTCTAGTCATCCTACTGATTGTTGTGCCGACCTTCTGCGTCGTCATGTTCTGTCTGCTTTGTCGCTGCAAGGACCGCAAACTCATCCTTCCAAAGTCGGGTCCCCTTCCGTCTCCTCTCAGTTACGCTGCTAAGAAGCCTATGGACATAAATACTTGTTGTGCCTCTTTCAGGTAAGAGGCCACTGTGAAGTTGTTCGTAGGCTAACCTACAAAGGCATCCTTAAGTGCCGGATCTACATAACATTGTCGTCTTTGTTTAGAGTGCCATTTTTTCCCTGCAACTCGGAACTTTATGCAGATATCGTCCATTTAATCTCGGCCACTCTACCCTACGACTGTTTGGTAGACGGCCTATTGCGCATACGGCGCATGAACTTATATGCTTCGTTCTAAATCGGTCGTAGGTCAGGCATTTAGTCGTGTTAATTTTTACGAATTAAAACATCGGACCCGACAAAAATCAAGCAGTAGTTTTGCGCGCATGATATGTAGGCTTTGTGCCATTTATGGCGTCGCGCCAAATTTCAGCTTCAGTCGGCTTGACTCTGACTTGCCAACAGTACACGACGGAGACAGGATGGGAAAAGTCCCTTTCACCGCGCGATCTTCGCGTGCGATACGCGGTAGGTGAATGGTCACGTTACGTCAGCCACTGTTTCCAATTTCATTCCGAGTTGGCTTAATGATAGACGAGTGGAGGTTTATCTAGCTCGGATGCAGCGCATAATTTTTTATTCACTATGAACCAGCAAACACGCTTTTGAGCAATTACGACACGCAGGCGGTCCTGACTTGGGACACTGCTAATATTAGTTCCAATTCAGGGCTACTAGGCCAACTGCAATACCCCCATTTTGATAACTTTTTTGGCACTTTCACATATGCGTAATCCAAGACTCCTCCTTTGGGTCCGGTAGTTGGAAAGTAGGTGGCCTGCGGTATTCGCAGACATTGTTTTGGACTCACCCACTTCTCGTTTTTAGAGGCTCCGTTTTGCAATCGGATTAGCATGGATGTCGGAAGAGGGAGGTGGGTGCAATTCAAGTCCGTCTCAGTATAAACAAATCCACGAACAGGCTAGCAGTGCGTCTTCCCGCGAAACTGATCGTCCTCGTCGCTAGCGCCAAACGAAATTTTGTTTACTTTACTGGAAAGTAGTCTCAAGACTCTGCAAACCGTAGCCACTTTTAGGGATGAGTTGTACTGATCTGGTTTGGCACTTTCCAGTGAACAGACTGTTCAATTTGGAGTTGCGCTTATTGAGAGGAACAAAGGCCCTTGTCCCTGACCGCAGCTTCTGACCTGATTTCGCCCATATTTTTTTGTGCATTCCCAGGGGCAGTTCGCGATCTTGAGGATTCGATTGTCTGCCCAACGCTTGGAGCAAACAGGATCACTTGTATTTGTACAGTGCGACATGAAAATAAGATACCTTACAAGCTTCCTAAAGCAGATAGTTTCGGACCGCGTAAATCTACTTCCAAAGTGGCCTGCTATTAAGTTGTCTCTTAAAATGCTCCAAAAGGCCACGCCGGTAATTTTATTCTAAAAATAAGTCACATTTCCCTAGAGCAGGTTTCATCTAATCCTCTGCTGTATGGCATCGCCCATATTTTACCTCAATATTACTGTAGCACTGTCCTCCCTTGTGTTGATGATAGTAACTAATGCAACATTCTCTGCCTTACAGTAAGTGCTGTCGCAAATGTGTCCCACGCCTGAACAACGATCCGCCAATCATCTGTGCTTTCGGTCCGTTGAACAAGGAGATCGGTGAGATACAAGAGAACGGTCTCAGCCCGAAATCGCCGGCTGGAAACGGGTACGCCAAGTCTAATGGTGTGACAGTACCTGCGCGTAGCCCCTCCCGCCCAAGCAATCGGGTGTATCCTGACAACCACCTTGGTGGTTTCTCGACAGTAACTAAGCCGAAGCCCCGCTACCTGCTCGATATAGAAGCTGCCTGGGCTGAGGCCGAGGCTTCTGTAAACGTCCACAGTTCTTCGCAACCTCCGCCTGCCGTAAACGGTTCGAAGTCGCCAGCTACGCCACGCATTGAGATCTCCTCGCCACAGCTGCAAAAGACCACCTTCCGTGGGGAGACGCAGTCCCTGGCAGCGGCCAGCAAAAACCAACAACGGGCTGCAGCTCAGGCAACAGCGAGGCTAAACGCTGAGAAGGGGCCTACCCGCAAGCGTCTTGGCAAGACGCGAGCCCCAACTCAACCAATCACTTCGTTTGAAGAGCTGAAGCCGCTGTCTCCGCTGAAGAGCACGAAACCCAGCAACAAAGTCTCACACTCGAAGTCCTTCAACCGGCAGCCCCCTGCACCTCTCACTGTCGAAATCTCCGCGCCTACACTACAAAATACTACGTACAATCATGCACTTCTCGAATTACCCGAAGCCTACTCTACTCTGCGGCACCCTAAAAAGCAACAGCATTCCACCACAAAAACCAAAGATCCCAAAAGGGTTGGCCGGTAGTGCCTCCCACTGTGCTTCTGAGCCAGTTAGCTCAGCCATTATTACTACCTCAAGCCCACCTTCGTTATACGATGGTACGGAAACACTTGGGTCGTAATTTCCTGCAAAAATGTCGCCAGTTGATAATTGCTCAGGCCCGTCGTAGTCCAAAATATGGACAAAGAAAGCGAACCGGAGATCGCATGTTTGCAGAGCCTGACCTTGAGTGTTTCGCCGAGGTATTAAAAATGCATTTTTAAAGTTAACTTCTGCTCCTCTCAACTCTGCAACACATTCCGGCCTACATTTAGCAATGATGCTTGTACGTGTACACACTCACTCAAGTTTAGACGTGTCTTTTTAACTCTACGCACCTGTGTCGTCTTACCCAGCTTCCACACACACCCCGTTACCTCGCTAGGAAACAGTTTATACCATGTAAATTGGTCTCTTCC